ATAATAAACTCTGATTATATTATATTTTCGAAATTCATTTGTGTATCGATATAAAATAGTAAAGAATAAAAAACTACAAAATAATTTAAACTGATAGCTTTAATTAAAATGAAAAAACTCCTAAGTGAAAGAACTAGGATGTGAAATGCCTCTTCTCTAAAAATATGAAATATTATGATAGATGTTTTCGAGAATGCAAAGATAATTTTCATGCCTGCACAATTGTTATTATTTAGCGATGTAAGAGAAAGATGAATGTACTTTTCGCAAGACAAATATATATCCATTGCCAACCTAATCGAGAAGGTCAAGGACTGCAACCTTTAAAGGAAAACATGTTGCAATTCTGCGCTATCCATTCATTGTCTCACGATATCGGATCTTCATTGTTATACCTTTGAATAGGTCACGAGTTTAATAACACCAGTTAGCGCCGTACTGTCCACGATATGAATACCGATTATTGTGTGCTCGATCCTAAAGGATTGTTGCGATAGTAGCTTATTTGCTCCACTGAATTAACGAGATAGCCATGGCGTTATCTAAAGAACCATGTAGTGATCGCTTACGTGACTTACGCTTTCTTCGGAGATAAAGCATTTTCCCAAAAGCATATTAACCGGTGCATAAATCTTCAAATCTTCGTTACGATTTCATAATTATATTTGTTTAATATGAGAATTGTGAAATGTTTTATTTCGCAGTAATAGAGAGCTCTGTTTCTAGCTGATTTTAATATGAATTTCAAAATTAAACTGTATGCAGTTTATTATCGAACAATTAAATCATTTTTTGTATACAATATTATATCTGTTAAAAATTATAATAAAATATTTTAGAGAGAGATTAAAATCACAAATGAAAAAAAAAACTAGATATTTTACCTTAGCAGTTTCTATATGATTTCTATTTTAAAAAAGTAATGTATATTTTCGTATATAAGTTTCCTCTCATATATTTTCGCGAATAAAACCTAGAAATCTATTAAGAGTAAATATACAGATATACTGATGGAATGTGCCTTGTAAATAATTATAGACTCGGTCAAGATATACAGCGGATTATAAGGGTCAACCATATTTTATGTTCCCATAGCAGGGACTTAGAACGAAAATCATCTTACTGTCACGAGTATCGCGGAATCTTTGGACATGTTTGTGCCATGTGATTGCGACGCATTTATCTCCATATGAAATCGTAAAGTTCACGTGTGGTCATTTTTCCCACGGGTGCTTATGTTAGCCAAGGTTGGAGTTGCCTTTGATGGTATATTCTCGCGGCCTATCATTTCATAAATCGAACTTTTATAAAATGCAAAGCACACAACAAGTTATGTTGCTTGATTTTATGTTTACTTATAACAATATTCTGGTCATAATAGAATAGAATTGGAATTTATGATTATTTCTATATTTCTTAGTCGTTTCTATATTTCTTCTTCGTATATAA